TTTCAGGTTGGGCACCCGTCATCACCAGTCACTTTGGGAAGTTTTTACCTACACTTAAGAGCGTCAATAAATCACAGTTAATCACTGATAAGTGTTCCATCCTGCTGTCTAGGGAGCTCTCCATAGTCCTGAAATTGCTCTTCAGAACATTGATTAGAAGATTTAAGGTGGGGTTTTCAAAAACACCTAGGTGAATTAAGAGCATGAGTCACCATTGACTTTCAATGGGACTTTTGTTCCTTACTCAGGCACTTTTCCTGCCCTGAAAAGTCCTACCCTTATTCTTTAAATTACACCCATGATTTTTTCTCAGTAATTGTAATAAACAATTAAGATTCCTCAAAACCGTCTTCAGTGTTTGTCATCTGCTGTTCGTTATCTCTGGTTATAACGCTTTTTTAAAAAAAATTATCATCTTCTTTCAGCAGGAAAATTATACAAAATTATTATTACTTTTAAATATCAGAAATTAGGCTTGGATTCTGCAATGGAAGGGTCAAGCATGGCTATTACTATTATTATTGGTATTGCAATAGTGCCTAGGAACTCCAGTCATGGACCACAACCCCACGTGCCAGGTGCTGTATAAACATGGGTCTTTATACATTATAAATGTATCTGTTCCATGTGGTTTCAAAGCAGGCAACCTTAAAGCTCACCTCTTTCCTGCTGTGATTCTGCTGACAGACCCCCTAAAACTGGATCTGTGCAGGCAGATCCCTGCAGCTCCATGGATCCTTATAGAATTCAATGGGGTGCCATTTGAGTGCAAAGGTCTGCTGCTGGGGATAAGGGCAGTAGACTATAGATATGGACTGGGAGGGTGTCTGCAATGGTGGGTTCCCAGCTATGGAACAGATTCTCACACTGGCAATAAAAGAAATTCCGCATGCAACACATGGGCTGTAACGGTAAGATCCGACTTACCACTCTGTGCTTTATTACATATCAGCGGAAAAGAAAGTTGCAATTTAAAAGGCTTAGTGAAATGCTAGCAAATCTTTTACCTTGGCTAGTCTCTCTGGGTCACCGGGATGCCTCGGGATGACCTTCTGCAGTCTCTGGAAACCATAATCGATGGTGGGTTCATTTAAAGCTGGAAAAGAAGAGTAGCCAGACATGAGTGTGAGCCTTAGGCAATTGCTGTTTTAAAAAACCCCCACAAAACAAAACATGAAGCCTTGAGGTGTATTCCGCAGAAGCCTGATCCAAAGTCCACTGATGTCAGAGGAAAAACTCTCGTTGATTGGAACACTAAACCCCACAGTGTCCTTAACATAATAACCTTAATGAAAAATTAGCCCAAATTAAGGGAAAGTCTTGGAGCCCAGGCTCCAGCCTGAGTCTGAATGTCTACACTGCTAGGTAGACAAAGCCTGAGTCAATTGACCTAGGCTCAGACTCGGTGTTGCAGGTTTTTCTTTGCAGCGTAGACTTACCCTTGGAGACATGTCCTCAGCTAGTGCATGTCGGCATAGCTCCAATGAAAAAAATGGAATTATGCTAATTTACACCAACTAAGGATCTGGCCCTTTGGGTCTCCTATTGCTGGACCACTGATTTGCTTGGTTCTCACTTTCTCTATCAATCTCTCAGGGCTCTTGTGAGGCTTTTACTTATAGAATCCTTTAATCATCCTTGAAGTTCAAGGTAACTGAGCTCCTTGTCTCTCTCCTCCATTTTTACCTGGCTCCCTCTCACCATCTCAGACTCTCTCTTTCTTCCCATTCCCTCCCATCTGATGAATGTAACTCATCCCACCTGTCTAGGCTTCCTATGGTTGCCAGAAGAGTCATCCACCTCCGCACTGAACCTACAGCTTGAAACTTCCTGCCAGCCCACTGCTCCAGATTCTATGCCAGCCTCACAGACAACCCCTATTTAATGCATTGTTGCTGGCACCAAGCCCCAGCTCATTACCAGTGGGAGAGTAGAAGAACAGGGAAGGTGACGAAGAATACCAGGAAGAGAGGAAGGTCAATTTTAAACTGGATCTACTTAAGATTCCTGATCTGGTACTTCATTCCTCACCTCAACACCCCCCATGTCTACTCCTGAAGTTGCCTAATCCGTTCGCATTAGTCAGTATCCTAAGACTTGACCGAATGCTTGTGAAATGCTTTGTAATTGTCCATTGAAAGACAAAGTATTGCAGCCCAAATTTTCAAAAGCTATTTTAGGTGCCTAATGCCAGGCCTCTAACGGGTGACTTTCAGAGGGTGGGGGTGCTCAACACTTTCTGGAAAAAAAATCAACCCCTTTGAGGTATCTCAAGTCAGGAATCCAAAAAATGAACCCCTCAAAATCATTAGCTCTTGTTGAACATTTAAGCCTACCAGGTGGTAGTACTTGTTCAGACACTTTGTGTGAGGAATATGCCCACTATGAAACCTTGATTATCCAAACGCCAGTTGGCCTAACCCTGATGATCCAAAATTCAACTATGTCCCCCAAATTCAAAATTCATATTAGAAACCAACATTGACTTCTCTAAATCTTGGAGTACCCAAAGTCTTTGGCTATCCTCAACCACAATGTTTACCAATAAAATTAAGGATCTGGCTTTTGAAAACCCTACTCATAGGTGGTGATGGGATTTAAATGAGAAATTAACTCACCCAAGTGCTGAGAATCTTGCTAAAAATTCTTTGCCAAATGAGTTAAGGACATGCTAATCACTGAATAGTACAGAGTCCCCATTCAATAGCAGCATCTTCCATCTTCTTGTGCCACTTTGTCCCCGTAAAAATGGTCACTTGAAAGAAGTGGTGCCAATAGCTGAGAGTGTCCAATCCTATCCAGCACTTAGTTCCTTTCCTAACAGTACTCAGCACCTTTCAGAATCAAAGAGTCAGGCACTAGAAGTGACATAGTGTCATCAAGTGACATAGAATATTACTCTGATCCAGATTTTCTGTTTATCTGTGTCAATCTTTGGTATAACACCATGAAGGTAAAAGGTCATATTCCCCACCGAGATACATTTTATATTTACTTTTTATTAAATAATTACAGCATGGCATGAAGTTTAAATATTACAGGAGCTCATAAAGAGGGAATTGAGTAGAGAAAACCCAGACCAGAGAATTTAGTCTTGGCTATACTTAGAATGTCTTCGCTCTCCACTGGGAACCATTCAGGTTTGCTTAAGGAGTTTAATAATACACATTTCAACTGCCACAGAATCTAAATCCCATTTGAGAAAGGGAGATTTTTTTTTTTTTTTTTTTGCCAATCATGAGAATTCATGACAATTCTCTGGAGGGCCTATACATCATTATGTGCCATTTCTCTTCTTGCTTGGAGTCTACTAGTTTAGGTTATATATCTTGGACTAAGCAAAAAATATGTATATATTTAACTAAAAATATTGAATGAGGAATATCCAAATCTATTACTCAAGGAAAGGAACTGGCTATTAACCAACATTATTTTTTTCCCAAGGGATTGGCATGTATATATTTGTATTGTGCTCTGACATCTTAAGAGCAGGAGAAGGTTCCTAGATCATATAAAACTGTTCTGAGAACAATTCAACCATACACACATTATATATATATAGCAGCTTTGAGCACAAAGGACACGCCCAAAATATCCAAGCTGCTCACTTTGTTCACCAATGAAATGCAACCCCCTCTGAGGGAAACATTTCCAATTGAAGTTGAAGGGTGTGGCGGGGGATTTAGGTTCAGTTCCCAGGTTGAAATGTGGCCATGACATTGTTACCACCCCAACCCATAAAAAAAAATGCTATGGGATGTTCAGGTTATAGAAGGTATATATGTGCTCATTCCAAAGACTTATATGCCAAGATTTTGAAAAGGAACTAGTATTTTGGGGTGCACAGCTGGAGCCTCCTTAAGGGGGGCTGATTTTCAGAGGATGGATGCTGAGCACTTCTGGTGTCTCAAATTGGGTATCTAAATAGTATGACATCCAGAATCATTAGTCACTTTTTTGAAAATTTTGGCTATAAGTCTTAGGAAATCTTCCTGTTTGAGATCACCATGGTTGTGACAAGCCACTTTGGCAGGCCAAGTTTCACACACTAAACATCTGTTGAATTTTCAAGGACAGAAAACAAATTGTGTGTTGACATCAAGTAACAGGGTAAAAAGAGTTAAAAGCTAGTTAGCAAATCGAATTGTCACCTAAACTATTCACATCACTCTAACATAACTGGTTTGATAACAGAACATTTACAGTCAATAATAGAGCTAGGTCTAAATGCACTGCAGCCCTCCTTAGTTTCTCTTATGCACGGGCATGGATTCAGCTGGTATGCCAGACCCAGTACCTCTTTTATGCTGCCTCTTATTCTCTGGAATCTAAGCTTTCATTTACGATACAAATAAGGGCTTGTCTACACTTGGAAATTTATCAGAATAGCCGTTCTGCAGCTGCCCCCCCATGTGCACACTTGTATTCCAGAATATGAGTGACTTTTCCCCTGTTTCGCTTAACCAATTTTGGATTACTCTCATTCTGGAATAAGAGTGTCCACATTTGTAGATAATCAGGAACAACTTCATGTGCAGCCACACCCTAAGTCTCTAGCTATAATGGTTGTTGAGATCGCCTCCAAAGCAGAAACTCACACTCAGGGAACTGATGTGGTGCCATTTACCTGCATTTGCAGAACCGGAACAATAGCTCTGCCCCATTCTTCTCAATGAAAGCTAAAACTTTAAATGGCAGCATTGTTATTTCTCTGTCCAATCAAATCACGTAGAAAGGAGACGGAGGATGACATGCACATTCTACTGTGAGTGACAGCTCATTCTGACGCCAGCAGCAAATGGTCTTAGGAGATACCACTTCTTTCCCTCCCCTCCTATCAAGAAGGGACCAACCCAAGGAATTTAGGAGAGCCCAGCAGGGCAGCTGAGAAACTTCCACAAAGGGGAACCAAGCGCAAGAAGTGCACTGGACCAGGTGTGACTGAAAGGAAACCAAGCAGAAGGAGCCCAGCAGAGCCCATGGGTGTGTTCTGACCCCACCACAGGAAAGTTGAGTGACTAGAGCCCATAAAGCATATGTCGAGCATCTGCACAATCTACTGTTCATGGTGAATCATGTGCATGGGGCTTATTTTGTGGGTGAAGCTTGAAAAAGTACCACTACCTTTCTTTTTTTACCCAGTCTGATCCCTGTCTCCGACTCTCGAACCACCCTTTAATTTATGACAATGTCATTGAGTCCTCTGCTGTATTTGCTGGGTCTTTACAAGCAACTCCCTACAGTCCTACAGCTATTTCAATGCCCCTTTCTGGAACGTGCCCTTCATAAGCTCAGGCAGGACAGCAGCTGCCCCCAAGCAAATCACATGCTCTTCCCAAGGTTAGTTTCCAGCGCTAGCTCCATCCTTGTAAGTACTGCTTCCGAGAGGAGGATAACAAGGCATTCTCAATTCCAATTTATAACCCTAAAAAAAAAACTAGCACCTCCTACAGTGTGCAGCTGGCATATATCCCAACCCAAGGCAGTCCCTTGGGAGTGCAGTATATCCCACGGATCAGAGAAATGTAGGGCTGGAAGGGACCTCTGCGTTGAGACAGGACCAAATAAACCCAGACTATTCCTGACAGGTGTTTGTCCAACCTGTTCTTGTACTACATTGATCAGACTAGTTAACCCATCAAGCCTTTCTGTATATGGATGAAAAACTATGTTCAAAATCTTCCTGCCACACTATGTTTGAGATGAGTTTCCCTACAACACACTACATGCAGAGCTGAGGTCAAGTATAAGCTCCAAGAGCTTACAATGAGCCAGATCCTCACATGAGCGCCATTAAAGTCAAGAACTTGGGCTTATATATTATTAGAGGCAGAATATAAGGCAACTGCTACATTAGCCGTGGAGAACAAATGCCTTCCTGTAACGAGAACCCGGAAATGGGTGTGTCACCTTTATTCACAGCTTTCACCTTTTTATACTGCAAGATATTAGAGGACAATGTTTTGTCCTAAGGATGACATTTTACATAGTCAGTGATTAAAAAGAGAGAAACGCTTTTTGTTTCTCTCTGTCTCACTTTATATAGAATAGAAATGTTTATATAATTATATGCGCATTATCAAATTCAACAAGGCTGTTCAACAAACTCCATAAAGAAGCTAGCAATGTCAGTCCATTTTTCAAGACTTTTCCATAGACCTCTAAATTCTGTACGCGTTTTCCATAATGGGATCCTTATGGAAAAGGCCACACATCAAATTCTGGTGATGAGAGGAATGTGATGGCTGACTTGCAGCACCCTGAGTGATAGCACTTGAGAGTGGGGATGCTGACAGAACCTCAACTGCAGCATTGCTGGCACAGCGCACTTTCCTCATAGCCTATTCTGAATACACATTACAGGGAGCATATGCACTCTTGTAACAGCATCATTGTGGCATTCAGACTTACCCTTGAAATTTCTCTCTGATTCTTATACTTAACAGTTTATATCACTCTCTTCTTCAACTTGTCAATGCTGCTCTTTTATAAAAAGCTAAAGCTTCATCAGGTTGAACATTCCTATTTGATCGTATATTAAATATTGAAAGCTTTACTCAAATCACGGGGAATCGTGGACTTCAAACTACCAAAATCATTTCTGTTCCATCTCCACCTTTTTATAATAGATCTGGATGATCTTGTGGTTAAAACTCTGGGCTGGGACTCAAGACACCTGGGCTCAATTCCCAGACTTGCCACAGACTCCCTGGGTGACCCCGGGCAAATTGCTTAATCTCTCTCTGTCCCAATTCCCCAGCTGTAAAATCGGAGTAATAACACTTCCTTTCATCTGTTTCGATTGCAAACTCTTCAGGGTACAGCCTGTCACTTACTTTGTCTCTGTACAGTGCCTGGTACAATGAAACCCTGAGCTTAGTTGGGGTCCTCTAGGTTTGTGTGTAGTATGAAAGTATAAATAATAATAATAGTAATAGAATCATAGAACTGGAAGGATCTCAAGAAGTCATCTAGTCCAATTCCCTGCATTCATGGCAGGACTAACTATCTAATTATGCCCAGGATCTGCCTTTAGCCAACTATTCAGTGCTTCTAACACCACATGACCCTTAGTTAGCACCTTTCACCCGAGGATCTCACAGTACTTTATAAACATTAAGGCCCAGATTTTTAAAAGCATTTAAACACCCAGCTCCTCTTGAAATCAAGGGGTCAGGTACCTACATATCTTTAAAAATCTGGGATAAGGACCTAGCACAATGGGATTCTGATTCCATTTGGGCCTTTACATAATACAAATAATAATACTAATAACAGGAGTTGTCTCTCACTCTTTGATCTTCTGGGAATGGTGTTAAGGGCTATGTTTCTCTTAGGAATATTGCCCGATGGAGGTTGAACGTAAAGAGTATTTCTTTAAAGAAAGGGTTCTCCACTTTTTCATAGTGTGGACACAATTTAATAGAAAGGACCAACCTTTCCTCCCATCTGCCACCACACAGTCCACCTCCCCCCTCCCCCCCGACATAAATTTGAGCAACTACAGCCAATGCTTATAAAGAACCCATCAAGGAAGTATTTAAGACATTTTTAGCTGTTTTACTCTCCACAAGAGAGGCTTTCCTATGCTTTACTATATTTCCCTTCCCTCACTATTGTTGTATGTGCCCGTTGGCTGCCATCCTCCATTCAAGAAGTGGCTGTATTTTACTGGTGCAGTAGGTAAAGTTTGTAAAGCACTAGGGACACAAAAAGAGCTATAGAAATTTTTTTAAAAAAACCTTTGTGTTTCTTCATAGCAGGGTCAAAACAGACTCATGATATCACAGCCGTGGCGAGAGAAAAATAAACATGTTATTTTCATAGCTTGGAAGTTGTTTTTGTTGCTATTATCAGCAACAATGACCTGGGGGAATTGATTACACTATACTTAATAGCTGTGTTTATCATTTTGCCTAACATGATGGGAGAACTACAAGTCCTTGGATAGATAGATTGAAAAGTTGTCTAATTTTACACCAGCTTATGTACCTCTGCATCTTCTGCAAACATGCTTTTTTGTAACATATGGCAGTAAGCACCCACTCGCTCCTCAGTGAATCTAAACAGATATCTCCACGCTGATAACAAGAGCAAAATAGGAAGATTATATTATCCACTCTCTCTTCTGCTATTTGTCATGTACATCTTCATGTCCTCTTTGGTGGAAATACACTAATTAACATGTCAGAGAGCAGCACTACATTTTGACTTCAACCCTCTATAAATGGCACAGATAAGCCCTGCACGTAAAACACAGACCTACAAAAAGAGGAATAATTTCCCCATAATAGAAATACATTGTTTTATGCGTTTCTCCATCATTAAGGTCCTGATCCTGCACAGAAGCAGGTGAGCAGTCCAAGTCCATTGCATGCACTTATATCTTTGCAGGATCAGGGCCTAAATAAGTAAGAAGTGCCACAGAAGAACCTAAATTTTCAGTCGCTGACTCACAATATGCTCAAGAATTAACAGACCCTCCCCGGTAAATTTCGTACCAGACCCAACCCTGGTCCTGCAGCCTGTTAGTAAGTGAAATCAATGAGAAAGCTCATTTGCATAAGCCTACTAGGACTGGGTCCCTTATGGGTTTTTTCAGTCTTGTTTTTGTACAATACAATTACGTTTTCATGCAGATTTGAGATCACAGTCACTTGCGTTTCAGTTAGTTATCTGCTAGTTAAAGAAGCTGTGCTCAATATATTGAGGGCCACAAATCAAAGCTGTCTCTTTAAAAGGAATTTGCTTACAAAAAATTATGGCTAAAGTCTTACCTCACAAACACAGGGGTATAAATCCAGAGCAGCTCCTTGCGCTTTAGTGAGGTTATTCTGGGGCAAGATCAGTTTCAGGCCCTAATCATCTGGGGCCCAGCCCAAAGTCCACTGACATCACTAGAAGTCTTTCCATTGACTTCAACGGGCTTTGGATCAGGGCCCTATACTGTAAACTCACTGGGTCAAGGATTGTTTTGTTATTTGTCTGCACAGCATCTAGCGTAACAGGACCCTGGTCCTAGATTGGATTTCCTACCTACTACTATAATACAAATGAATAAATACATTCTTAAGTAATAATAATAATGAAAGCTTCTAAAAACACATTAAAAATTATAATGAGAATTATTGCTTTTTAAAAAATTATACATTTTGCAAATTTATAAAAATATCAACATTTCATTGAAAATTTTCCCATTTTGGAAACATTTTGATTGGCTCTCCAGGTAGTCAAAAAAACCCGCAAAATTATTTATAAGCATTGGCTGTAGTTGCTCAAATTTATGTCGGGGGGGGAGGTGGACTGTGTGGTGGCAGATGGGAGGAAAGGTTGGTCCTTTCTATTAAATTGTGTCCACACTATGAAAAAGTGGAGAACCCTTTCTTTAAAGAAATACTCTTTACGTTCAACCTCCATCGGGCAATATTCCTAAGAGAAACATAGCCCTTAACACCATTCCCAGAAGATCAAAGAGTGAGAGACAACTCCTGTTATTAGTATTATTATTTGTATTATGTAAAGGCCCAAATGGAATCAGAATCCGATTGTGCTAGGTCCTTATCCCAGATTTTTAAAGATATGTAGGTACCTGACCCCTTGATTTCAAGAGGAGCTGGGTGTTTAAATGCTTTTAAAAATCTGGGCCTTAATGTTTATAAAGTACTGTGAGATCCTCGGGTGAAAGGTGCTAACTAAGGGTCATGTGGTGTTAGAAGCACTGAATAGTTGGCTAAAGGCAGATCATGGGCATAATTAGATAGTTAGTCCTGCCATGAATGCAGGGAATTGGACTAGATGACTTCTTGAGATCCTTCCAGTTCTATGATTCTATTACTATTATTATTATTTATACTTTCATACTACACACAAACCTAGAGGACCCCAACTAAGCTCAGGGTTTCATTGTACCAGGCTGTACAGAGACAAAGTAAGTGACAGGCTGTACCCTGAAGAGTTTGCAATCGAAACAAATGAAAAATTAAAAATAATTAATTATTAATTCTGGGGGGGTTCAGGTTGAGAATTGCATTTTTTTGCTGCAAAATGTGTCCGAAATTTGATATTCTAGAAATATTTACCAGAGCTAATGGTAATAATAGGTTTTTTAAAACAAAAATCATTGCTTAAATTCTCAGCCACCTAAATTAAATATGACTACTAAGAAGCTATTAGTCATATTTTTTTAAATATATAAATATATATATATATATATATAAATATATAAAATCAATCCTCTAAAACATGCTCCCATTTTCCATGCACATGTATTAGGAGATAAAACTTTATTGTGTATACTGACAACAAATGAAGATTCTTCTTTAGTTGCACTGGTTTCTCTTTCTAGAGCTATAGATCTCTCTCTCTCTCTCTCTATATATATATATATAATTATTCTCCTGCTGGCAGAGGGGTAAATGTGGGGCATTAAACAAGTTGACAATATCCATTTAAAAATAAAAAAGCCATCAAGATTTATTTTGCACTCAGCTCATTGGCTTCTTTAGACATAAGACATTCTGCCTATCCCTGGGGGCCATCCTGAAAATGAGAGGTTACCCCCAGTGAGAGAGAAATGTAAAATAAATACTGTTATAAATAAAACATCTTCTAGTATGCAGAGCAATGCTATCAAGTTACTGTACACTTAATATATCTAGAGAGAGAGCCATACTGTATCAGCATGGGCTTTAATCTGCAAAATATATTAACATGTGGAGTAATATTCCCTTAGTTTCCTCATTGCGTAGAGGTTTTATCTCCTTACACTTCCAAATACTTCAAATAGCAGAACAGTTTTCAAATGGCATGTAGCAAGTATTTAAAAAAGAGTAATCGATATTACTGAGAGGAAGAGACATTCGTGTTCCAGCCCTCCACAGTAAATCACGTTCACCTACCGGTGTAAATAAACCTGCCCGGGGCTCCTTTGCAGAACTGTTTGGATTTATATGATAGTGTGACTTCGACTACACCAGGAATGTGACGAGGGGGGGTCTGGACTCGAATAGCGTGAGGTGTGATCAGCTGGGAAATAACAACAAGAGAGAAGCATGTCATGTATGGGTTGTTTGCGTTTTTCCCCACTGGCCCCTGGTTGTGTTTCTCAAGCAAATGAAACTGTTTACTCCTTCCTAGGAATTGCCAGATTGGATCAGACCAGTGGTCCATCTACTCCAGCATCTTGTATCCAATCATGCAAAGCACCAACTGCTTCAGAAGAAGGTACAAATAAAATAAATAAATGGAGATATCCCATCTCCTAGAATGGACCTTGAAAGGTCATGGAGTCCAGCCCCCTGCCTTCACTAGCAGGACCAAGTACTGATTTTTGGCCCAGATCCGTAAGTGGCCCCCTCAAGGATTGAACTCACAACCCTGGGTTTAGCAGGCCAGTGCTCAAACCACTGAGCTATCCCTCCCCCCAGGAAGAGGGATTCTAGAAGAATCTACAAGAAATCCTGCAGGGATACTACAGGGAAAGTTTCTTCCTGTCCCCCGTTAATTAATTGTTGATTTATGCCCTGAAACTTGAAGGTTTGTTTCCTTTCCCGAACTCCTGGCCTTTTCTTTTAATCCTCCCTGTAACTTTGGATATTCTTCTTATCCATAGAAACATCCAGTCCTTTTTAGAATCCCACTAAAAGTTCATGGACACAATGATATTATGTGGCAAAGTATTCCACAGATTAACCAAGCACTGGGCGAAAAAGCATTTCCTTTCCTCAGTTTTAAAGTAATCGTCTTTCAATGTCATGGACCATCCCCTTGTTCTTGTATTATGATGAGAATGAGCGAATAGTTGTTCCCCATCGACCTTCTCTATACCAGCAATATCTAGCTTCAGCTATGCAATAGCAAGTTACTTTTGCCTACCTCACTCCATACAAGCATGGTCCCAAATACCACTTGTAGCCCATCGAAGAAATTGTCTCCTATAATGATCACCATTGCGCCCCCTGTAGTCCAGCCTTCACTTGGGCTAATAGCTTTGATGCATGGTGTGGCTAAACAAAAAAAGGGATAAAAATGGTAGGTTAGTTTTCTTGCAACTGGTCTGGGAGGCTAGGTTTTCGGGTAGGTCAGGGCCAGTTAAACCCCGTGACTGGATAGGCAACACTGTTATTTGCACAAATTGCACTGGTGCAAATCATGGCTTATCGCACTGCTCTAGGGGGTTTGCACTGCTGCAGCTGTATTGCTGGCTTGTATCCCCCAGTGCTACCACAGCCCTTAATTCGTTCACCCACCAAGGCTGCTTACCATTCCAAGGAACCAAAAATAAAATAAAATAATTTTGTTCTCTGCCTTGCTAGTGTTCATTACTCACCTATTCATTACTGGCACTTAACATTGTGTCATTAAAGCCTAATAGGCCAACTGTAGTAGTGGGTGTAAAAGTGAATCACTTAAGTGATTGTGCAGAGGCTATTTTAAAAACACTTATTAGCATACGATCACACAAGAGCAAAAAAAGCAGGCTGTAGGAGGGATGTGTTACAATTTACTGTGTTTATCAATGGGATATCTTGTGTTTCCTCCAGTACCTATCAAGAGACAATTTCTAATAATTTTTGTGACTTTATGGAATAGATTTTTTCTTCTTCTCTTTTCCATATGTTCAAGGCCTCTGGACTATACATCCCATCAGGAACCCAATATGGTTTCCAGGCCATAACCAAAGTCAATCCATCACTCCATTCCCAATGTTGACAGGGTCAGAGGTGGAGGGGAACTTTGGCAGGGCTCCAAAAACATGAGACTCCTTTGAACAGCCAGTCAATCACATCCAATCAGTCAAGGAAAAACTGGATGGCTTCCTAGGCTTGGAATCCTGGGATTTTCCTTCTACCATTTCACTGCCCGCTGGGGGGGAATTAACACTGCTCCGAATTCTTTACTGATTCAATCATTTTCTTCCAGTTCATTAATTCTTCTTTAGGTTGATACAGGGCACATTTAAGAAGGGGGGGCAACAAAACAGTGTAATGAAATAATAGCCTTGCTTGTCTCTTCTACTAACATCACAAACTCTTCTCACTTTCACAGGCTTCAGGGAGATTGGAGACGGGGGGAAGAGACATAGATATGATTTTTAAGTTATTTTAAGTACTGCCTATATTGAAGAAGTGGAGTTTGTGAGAGGGGCAGGGACAGAGAGAGGGGGGGTTTACCCACTTTGAAGCTTAACAGATACAGGTATTGGTAATTGCTTTAATATACCCCAAGAACTGTCCCATGGACGACGGCAATTCCTGCTTAGCCAAACAAACTAAAATCAATTAGTGTCAGTCTCCTTCTGCGCATTGTTATGCTTTGCGCACAGTTTGTTTAAGGGAACCACTGACACTTTTTCATACACATCTTGCACTGTAATGTTTCTGTTTAAGTAAGATGTCATGTTGCTTAATTTGCCTGAAATCAAGTCTAGGCCAGCTGAGCAGTAAGTCTGAAATTCTTAGCTAATTGTTAATGCTTTTACTGAGTTTTTCATCTTCACAGCCCTGTACAAGCTAACTAATTAATAGATGGGGGGGGGGGGAGTCTCTCTCTTAGATGTAGAAGGATCCAAATCTGCATGCTGTGGAGCCTTTTTTTGGTTCATCTTCCTTCTCTAAAGCCCCTGAGGTTCTGCAGCTCTCTCCACGCCCACCAAAACAAACAAAAATTCAAGTGCAGAGTGCATGTGTTTGTTTTCATTGGTGTACCGTATTCCAGACAAAGTTCCATACCTTCTGAGGGGTCAAGTCTCCTCGCTCTCCGTCCATGTTTAGAGTTGTTATGAACAAACATGTTGTCAGACACTGCCAATACATGTCCATCAACATTCACTGTTGTTGATAACACAACCTAGGAAAAAAGGCAGGTAAATTACTTGTTTCAGTATTCAGCTTTTGATGTATTTATTATTATATTGAATTAAAATCCCGTTCTATTTGGAAAATATAATTGTTTATTTCCCACTAGGGGAAAAAGAATTTTCAGTGTCTACCCTGTGCCTTCATTCCATTTAACATGCGTCCGAAGGCCCATATGCTATCCTCAATGTACATGACATAATGAACCAGCGACGAGACTATCCTAAGTTTAGTTTTCTGTGATGCATTGTAGCATAGAGGGCTGTATGTACAGACAATGAGGGCAGACTGCAGAGCACCAGAATAATGTGCCCTCTGCTATGTATATATAGAAGCACAGCCATCTGCTATCCTACACACACGTGCATCATAGGAAATCAAACTTACAACCATCTGCTCCTAAAACATAGGTTTCTATCCACTGAGATAAACAGAAACTTCCATTAGCTGCAAGGGGTAGAAGGGCCTGGTTTTCAGAAGGTGGGCACTCAGTATTTTGTGCAAATCAGGCCTCTTTAAGGGTGTCTCAGGTTGGGCACCCAAAAATTGTGGCTCTCAAAATCACAGATTTTGAAAATCTTGCCCTTTTTGTCCAATCTCGCTGGGTTCTAACAGGACACAAGTAAACTCTTAGAGGAAATAATTGTATTTGTTACTGAGTCTCATTGAGATCTCTCTTTAAAACAAAATGTCCTAAGCTATAAATCCATTAAACCCAGAGATTCGTGCATCTTTAAACCACATATATTAAAAAAAAAATCTATCATTTGAACCAGTCTGAAGAACATGCATCTCGTTAGAACTTTGAAGCCCAGATCCTCAGCTGGTCCACATCGGCGTAGCTCCATTGGCTTCAACAGAGCTACCCTTATTTGCAGCGAGCTGTTAAGGATCTGACCCTGAGCGTGTGCATGAATTTTCACAGATGCAATTGTCATGCTTTAAGTAAGAGAATTTCAGGCTTTAATTGTTGATAAACTGTATTCAGCACACAGCAGGGAAACCCTGCCCTCCTGTAGGATTTTGCTGGTTTAAAGAATGCTCTCTCTCACTCTTTTTTTACGACAAGGTTAATTCATTCCAAAAGGCTCTTGTCATACTGTACATTAATACTGCTCATGCATTCCTGTCACAAAATGTGTTGCTTTTGTGTGTGCCAACTGATTTCATCATTGCACATTTGGGTGGAGTGAGACTCTGTTCCAAAGTGAACATTTCCCGCATGACAGAGCTGAACCCAGTCAGATGCACCTCATTATTTTCCCTTAAACAATGGAAATAAATTTTAATCTTTCACTGGCCAGCACAGACCACGCTATGGCAACGAGGGAATAGACCTGAATCATTCCAGTGTCTGAAATATTTACGACAAGATTTTAAATTGTAACCAAATGTAAATCAAAAATATATCCCATACACACACACACACATATATATATATATATATATATATATATATATACAAATACCCAGCCACACAGAGACAATGTTATATATCCACACACAATACACACACACACACACACACACACACACACACACACACAATATACATTAATATACTAATACACACAAACAAAATCATACACATTACAGGCGTGTGACTATATAGGTATCTGCATTATACACATAAAGTGAGAGAATATAGATGATCTACATTCCATTCACAGTGTTCTACTGGTCCCTGAAACATGAGAGATAACTTCCGGACAGAAGTCGCATTCTTCCTAAGTGCTGAGCACCCTCAAATTTCATGGTGAGCAGGTATTACTGAAACCCCCGTCAGACCCCTCTCATGTGTGGTTTCATTTTGTCACCTATCAGGTTCACCACCGGGCGGGCAAAGACAGGATGGAGCCTGGAGTAAATAAATAAAGCCATCCTCAGAGATGGGCCCAACTCACAGTTTGGGGCTAGATCTCAACTCGCTCTGTGTTTTGGAGGTTGTTGGAGCTTGGGTTTTGGTTTGGGCCCATCTCTTGGCATTACTGCAATTCAGCAAAAGAGACCTCATGTTGTCTTTACTATGATTCTTCTGGTTCACTTTTTTATCTATGCTACAGAGTAAGAATGTTTTAGATTATGGAGGTAAAGTTACTGGAGCTCCAGATTTAGCTCCACTCACTTCCCCCTTGCTGGGCGAGGACAATCAAATTGTTTAATACTGAAGATTAAGACTCAACATTTTAAGAATAAAAGGAAGCAGAACGTGCATTCCACCATAGTCTCTAGCTCCCAGGCCCTCCCCTTTCACAAGCCAACAACTGCTTTCCCCCAGTGAGTATTTCCTGGGTCATGGAGGGTGACCCTTTCCATCTGGAATCAATCAGTCAACTCCTGACAACTTCCTGAAACACCTCACTCCATTTCCTGTTCTCTCCCCCTTCTCTCTTTCCCCCTGGTTTGCTTCACTCTTCAAAACTACAGGCCACAGCAGCTTAATGTTAGAGGGTCAGACACAGTTAGACTCCAAAACACTACACAAGGACACCTTTGACCTTCAAAAATCTTTACATCTTAGCTAAACAAATCAAGGTCAACATTTCTTACCATTACCTTGTTAACCATTTATAGGCATTTTTGCCAATGCCCTTCTGAATGCATATCCATCAATACCACTTGTTCTCCCAAGATCGTAAAACATGGCAAGCTTTGTTTTCTTTATGTGCATTGAGTGCTGGTGAAAGGTGCTGGCCTGACATCCCTGGAGATTTAAGTCCTCAAATGTATCCACAGCACAGGCAAGTTACCTCTGGTACTACTAAGCCAAAGTGTCTGATTCCTGATCTGATGAGACCACCTCTACAGATAAGATTTGGCCACTATGCTCATTCAGTTTATGGCTGCTCGACTAAGATCACCAATTGGTGCCAAACGTTGTGGTGGCTTTGGTAGACTCTTGCCTTTGGGAAATAGACTGAGAACACCAAATTATTTACAGAGGGCATCAAACATCCTTTCGGGTCACGGCTGACCTGGGCTCAATTTGAACCGATTACGTAGAAGCAAAAGATTCTGCATCCCAGTTCCTTGAGTCATCCAGTTCCCAAAACTGTAATTTTAGAAGAGAATGAAGACTGTGACCTGTGACCTGAACAGTTAGAATAAAAAAGGACAAGCAACACATTCACAGATCTGAATCTGGGTTCCAGCACGCATAATGGAGAGATGTTTGTGGTCTTGTATGTGGGGTTTTCAGCAGTTCTTAAGATTTGCTTTGCTAATCTGGATGGTTCCTCTTTACTGGCCTCAGATATTAGTTAATTATTCCCCTGCCACATTAGAAACCTGGCACGCTTCTTCGGGTGCTTGTTCATGTTCATTCCAATCCAATCAGGTGTATGCACGCACACATACACAGTAGCCGGAAGATTTTTCCTCTAGCAGCGTCCATGGGGTCGCCCTTCATGGCGCCCATTAAAGGGCCTTGCCAACCTGCCACCCCCTCAGTTCCTTCTTCTGCCAGTGACGATAGCTAGAACTTCCCCTTGCTCTTGCTTCAGCAAGTGGCTTAGCAGTACTTTCGGTTTTCGCTGTAGTGTGTTAGTATAGCATAGTTAGTTCACTTATAAGTTTCAGTTATGGGGGGTTCCCCCATTTCCTCTCCCCCGTTTTTCTTCCCTCCTTATTTGTCACCGGGGCATGCTGCGATCCCTGGGCTTCGAGACTTGCCAGGACTGCGTGAAGCGCATGCCTAAAAGTGACCCCCACACCTCCTGTTTATGGTGTCTGGGCGAGGGTCACCAAAAACATAGCTGCAAGATCTATCAGGAATTCCAACCGAGAACTCTTAAAGAGAGGGTAAAAGATGTAATCAACTACAACTCCGAATATCTAACCAGCAGGGCATCAGCAGCAGGTACTCCTACAATACCTGCTCAGCAATGGCTAAATTCACGGAGTTGCTCCCCTTGGGCTCTCAGATCTGTGGTGAACAATACCCATTACCAATTTACAGTCCTTCCATTGGGCCTGTCAGCAGCACCTTGAGTCTTCACCAAGTGCATGGCAGTCGTCACTCCAACAGCTCCAGTCACGGTTAGCATCCGTGTATCAACCAGCCCAGGACAGCTTGGACAGGATCGTAACCCTGCCTTGCCCAGTCCTTGACTCCCTCCTGTGGTGGCTCGACCCTCAGGAGGTATGCTCAGGGGTCTCCTTCACCAGTCCACACCGTCTCTTTCACTAGTGACGTACGCATCAGACTTGGGCTGGGGAGCACACCTAGGAGACCGCAGGACTCAGGGTCTCTGGTCTTAGGCGGACCTGGGTCTCCACATTAACATCAGAGAGCTGAGAGTGGTGCGCCTGGCTTGCCAGACCTTCTGGGCACACTTAACAGGACAATGTGTATCAGTCATGATGGACAACACCACGGCAATGTTCTATATCAACAAACGGGGCAGCACACTCCTCTTCCCTGTGCCAGGAAGCCCTCATGCTGGGGGACTTCTGTGTAGAACATTCAATACACCTGCAGGCGTCGTACTTTCCCAGGGTACAAAACGAGCTGGCGGACCACCTCAGCAGGTCCTTTCATGGCCACAAGTGGTCCCTTCGCCTGGATGTTGCGATTTTGATCTTCCAAAGGTTGGGCTTTCCTCAGATAGACCTATTCGCCACGCGACGCAACAGGAAGTGCCAGCAGTTCTGCTCCTTCCAGAACCACTGCCTGGGCTCCAGAGTGGACATGTTCCTCTGCCCATGGGGAGATTGTCTCCTGTATGCCTTTCCACCCATAACGCTCGTTCACAAGGTACTCCTCAAGATCCAGAGGGAATGAGCTCAAGTCATATTGATAGCTCCAGACTGGCCCCACCAGCACTGGTACACATCTCTCCTAGACGTGTCCTTGGAAGCTCCAGTTGGCCTGCTGCTCTTCTCGGACCTTCTGACACAAGATCATGGTCGTCTCCAACATCTGAACCTCCGGTTGCTGCACCTCACCGCATGGAAGCTCCGTGGTTGAATCCAATGGAGCTTTCCTGTTCA